GGCACACCCTTCGCATGCTTCATGACCCCATGATGGGGATCCCCCGATGACGATACCCGCAACGACGGTACTCACAACTGCACATGCTTTGGTCCTTTCGCCATGGTAATCGTGGCCTCGGGAGTCCGGTACCATTTGTTTTTTTCACACAGCACTTGCCCCAGAGCGCCCAGGAGCTGAGGAGACGCAGTTTGGGTGCGGTTGAATGGGGCAGTCGGATCCAGGGGGGTCAAGCCCCATTTCAGAAACCTAGATTTTCTCATCCGAAGAGACAGATCAGTTATGTGATCCGAAAACATGTGGCTTTCAAATTCGGCTTGCCAGGTTTCTGAGCTCCTGAGGATACCGCATCGTTGCGACTCGCCTCATTGCGCTGGTGAAGAGTAGATTTCACAGTTGCTGAAACTCAGGTTCCGCAGCCCGATGGCCCCCAAAAAAGGCTGGCGGGTGTGACGAATATAGGTTTCATGCAGGCTCAATCGGCACACACAGCGATTGTGCGGTCACTACAGGCTTTGATAGTCTTGGCATCGTTGTGGGGCCTGATGGTTTTGGCGCACCCCTCTCGGCCCACAGTAAGGCGCGTGGGTATCACCTGCATCTCCTCCACACTTGTTTTTCCATTGCTCCCGCGAGGGTCATCCGCAATGTTCATGCTCTCCCTCGTTTGACCTCAATGGCTTTTGGTCGCTTGTGGGGGGGAATCGTTGTACGTATGGGTAGAGCTCCACGAGCCGATGCCGTGCCACGGTGGCAGCGTGACATGTGCATTGATCTGTGCAGGCGCATCTGCACCCGCATCTGTTGGCTGCAAGTGCACTATGAAGTGCGCTCATGTGCCCAGGAAGAGAAGTGGAGGCGGAAGTGGAAGAACGGGCGCAGTAGGACAAGCGGAAGGAGGAGATGTGGCGCTTATCAAAACCTTGCCGCTTCAGAGCCAGGCTTGGTGTCTAGGGACCTTCCTACAGCCATGCTGTTTCACGTTCCGGACGCTTCCTGGAATCATGCCGTTACCGACTTGCCCAAGGCGTCTTCGTATGCTATGTTGATCGGTTGGGTGCGCCATCTTAAGTAGCATTGCGTTAAACTGCGCCACCGTGTGAGTAAAGTTGTGTTTTACAGGTTCAAATTCAGAAGAGCTGCCTGGTAAATGATTTAGTTTATTGCTAACGATCTAGATGCTGATGAAACCATTCGCGCTCTCGGCATATACCGCTATCGCACCTGGATTGTGGGCCCGAGGCGTAGTTCAAGCACGGTTGGGAGCACCGCGGTACGCTGGTTTGGGGTGTATTCTTACTCCCCATCTTCTTATCGTTATCCCACTTGAGGGCCGAACGACCCAGAGTCTGCCCGCATCGTGCTTGTCTCCCCCCCACCACATCTGCCACCCTCGCCGTGCAGCCCTCGAGAGCCTCGGCGACTTCTTGGCCAAGGCGCAGAGCAAGGCTGGGAAAGCCGAGGGAGGGTAGGTTGGACATTGGAACACTTATATTACCAGTGGCGGGCTGTTTTACAAACCCATGACTTTTGAAGGGTCGGGGACGACGTCGGGGTGGTGTGGTGTATACCTTTCCCCGTTTTCCCAGAGAAATGACGAAACCTGTATACACCAGGATCCCGTATGCACCAGAGTCCGCTTTCTGGTGTGAATTTCAGTGCGGGGCTGGAAAAGACGTCGGTGTACAGAGTTCGTTTCTTCCCGAGTAGGGGGAATCGAAGGAGAACATACGAATCGATGCAGGTTATTCTTCCTCCAGAGAAGGGCCCCGTCCTTCTTCTCCCCTCTCCTCCCTCGTTCCCCATGCAGCCCTGTCGTTTCTGTGGGGTGAGAGCTTTCAGCAAGACGGCGCGCACACTGCTGCAACACCGAATCCCGCCGAACTCTCCCGCCCCATTCATATCCTTTACCGTGGCGAAGGAGGAGGAGGAGGAGGAGGAGGAGGAGGAGGAGGAGGAGGAGAAGGTGAACAGGAGGGTGGAGGAGCAGACGGAGGGAGGATCAGGAGGAGGAGGAGAAGGAGGAGGATGAGGAGCCGTAGAATTTTCGGCTTACTTAAGGATTAAGGATCACGAGGACCCCTCGCCAAGGGCCGGCCGCCCTCCCATCCCGCCACTCACCTCGGGCCCCCTGCGCCTCGGGGCGTCTCCCTCCTCCCGCCCTCCAGCCATGGCCGCGCGGCGGCGCACCAGGCAGCCGCGCAGCCTCCCCGCGGCGGCCGCGGCCCCACTGGCCAGGCGCGGCAGACAGCTGACAAAAGAGGATGTTCATCGTGCAGCATCCTGCTCGCCGCGGGGCTGCCAGGGGCCGCCGCCCAGCGCGGCACTCCACCGCCCCCCATCCTGGGGAGGCCGCCGGGCGACCACTACAGGAAGCCCTTCTCGCGCAGCACCGACGGCCCCATGTTGAAGTCGCCCAGCACGAACCACGGCAGCTGCAAGGCCGTGATGAGTGCGCCAAGCCGCACGAACTTGCGGAGGTTCTGAGCGCGGCACTGGA